TGCCAAAAAAATTTCCTTGACTGATACTTCACTCCTTATATAAAAATTAGCCCAAAATGAGCAATAGACTTAAGTATAAAACATAAAACTATGAAACTTCTAGAAGAAAACAGAAAATTTTCAAGACTTTTAGTCAGGCCAAGAATTCTTAACTAAAACAACAAAAGTCTGATCCATAAAAATATTGATAAATTGGTTTATCAAAGTTTTAAAAATTCTTCCCTGAGAAAAATACTGATACAAGAATAAAAAGATAAGACAGACCAGGAGATATTATTTGTAAATCACATTTTCAACAAAGAATATATATCTAGATTATGTAAAGAATGCTCAAAACTTGACAGTAAGAAAAAAACAACCCAATAAAAATCAAATAGATCATCAAAATTACCTCTGCATAACACTTCTATGCTGTAAATTTTTATTTGAATATGTATATTTTTCCAGTCAGTTAGAGATCCCAACTGCTCACCAATTTTCATTTGTACCACATTTTTGACACCAAAATTGGGCTTTTAATCTCTGTTAACCTTTGATGCACTTTACACTGATTCTTTTAAAAAACTATTAGTTTTCTTTGAACTCAGGAATAAAATTTCATGTAAGTCCTTAATAAAGAGACTAGTTCTCTATCAAATAAAATTGGCTCTATAAATAACAACAAAAAAAATTGCAACTTTCTGATTCATCAAACTTATTTCCTCACCTTTTATATAATGAACCTGAGCATGAGTCATCACATTTTTAATCGCCACCCTGCTCCCTCCCTCCCCTGCTACCGAAACTGAACACTTGTGGAACATAATGATGAAAGAAATGACCCTTACTTTCCCTTTACTCATATTTCTTCACTTATATCTCATCACCTGGTACCATGTTTTGTAAGTCATTGTAAATCATGTTTGGGAACATTGTGAAGTATAGCAAATACATTCAGCATGACAGAAATCCTTTAAGATTAAGTTATTCAATATGTAAATATGTAACCCTCTTCTTCCAAGTGAACATGTGCATTCTGTTGTGTATTGTTCTGTTTTTTGTTTGATTTTTGCCCAATACCATACCTGGTCATACTATATTTCTCTGCTGGCAACCAGAGAGATAATAAATCTGGAAGATTTTCTATGCCCTGCATGTTTCTTCTCTTAATCTTTTTTTTTTTTCATTACAGTACTTCTCATCACCTGACATAAGAAAGAAAAAAATAGTAAATGTCTCCTTCCTGTAAATTGTAAGTTCTATGAGAACAGAGACTGTGTCTTTCCTGTGTATTCGTTTATACCAGCACCCAGAACAGTGTCTGGTACATAGTAGAAGCTCAATAAATATTTATGGAATGAATAATTAGCTAATGTTCCTCTCTACTTCATTCTCTCACATTCTTCCAGAGATCCTGGCCAGCCTATGGCAGTACTACTGAAGGAAACAACAGAATACGGTGCCTTCCACTCTCTCCCTTCTGCCAGGATTCGTGACCAGGTCTTTGTGTCAATTTATGCACTAACTAGATATTAAGGATGGAGGATCATGAGAAGTAGCATCCGTGGTTATCCAATCTAACTCCAAATGTTCACCGGTGACCACCATATCAAATGGAAACAAAAAGAAGCACTCACCTTATACTTCAAATGAAAACAGGCTAAATGCCTTCAAAGCAATAGACAGGCTGGTTTCCTACTAAACACAGCTATCGAGTATTCACTCACTGGACTTATGGTCCATGGAATTGTTTTCTAGTCCAGGATCTACCACTAACTGCATCTTCACCAAGTCCCCGCCCGTTAGTTTAAAGACAGGTAACAAAACTGAATTGAAAACATGATCCCAGGCAGCAGGAGGAGAGTGAAGCGGAGGTACTGGGGAAGGCCGGGAAGTGGAGGGCACAGCAGAAAGGTTACCTGTGAAACCTCTTCAAACTATACATGGCCCACCAATGAAGTCCTCCACCCTAACCCACCCCTTGTGAATTACCACCACAGACTGAGTCTCTTTTGCTGTTACTAATGGGAGTATGAAAAACTCAGAGAAACTTTTCTAGGTTTTGAGTGTAAGTTCTTTGAGAAGTCGAACCAAGGTGTATGCCTGTTAGTGATATCCAGAGTGGTGTCTAACATAGAGCACTCCTGTCTCTATCTGGCTCTCCAGCCTCAGCTCCTTCCCTCTCATCAGCCACACCATAAGCAGGGCCCAGCAGAACTAGGGCCTGCTGGAGTGCGGTTGGTAGAGTAATAATATTTAATTTGAACATCTCACCTAAAATATCATAAGGTGTTCTTGGTGTGATATTGTAACGTTACAGAATTACATCCTCATGATTTTGTAATAAAATATTCTGTAGTAAAAAAAAAAAGGAGTATTATTTGTGCCAGACCCTGTACTTCTATTGTGCTGAACTTCTCCTGTTTGCCCACATAGGCCATGCCTTTCGTCTCTGTCACCACCTGTGGGAGACACGGGTGACTGCCTACCTAACAGCCCGAAAGGCAGTCTCGCTTTCTTCCTTGCTAAGAGAATTTCGATTTTGTTCAGATAGAGAGCATTGATGTGCTCAGGGAAAGTGAGCCCCGCCCCCAGCTCCCGAAGACTGCATGGCCAAAACATTCATAGCCACCCTCTTCTCCTTTGCCAGTGACTGGTTTAGGGTGGGCATGTGATTATTCTGGCCAATGGCACTTGGCCATGGCACATGGAACTTCTAGGAAATTTTGTCCTTTGTTATCAAGAGGAACACAGAGTAGCGAACCCTGTCTCTTCCTTTCTGCTTTGGGTGTTATCAAGCGGAGGCATAACGAAACTCTGGTTACCCTGTTACAGGGCAGAGAAAACAAAAAGAACCTTCGAGGGGCCAACCTAGCACTGGAACTACTTTGAACTGCCCACCTCCAGACTCTTTACACAAGATAGTAAAGTAACCTAAATAATGCTAATTACAACAGAAAGTGCCCTAAATGATACACTACCCCAAGTCCCTCCAACTTCTCCCACAGCAACCCCACTCATCTCTAATATTAAGGTCAACTGCAGTTTCCTTGGAAAGTCTTCACTATGTTCCCAGTGAAACAGCCCCAGATGTTGCCTTTCCAGCTAGACTGTGAGCTCAAAAGCAAGCATCTTCACCCTTGGCAGTAGCCATAGCCCTTGTTGGGCATTAATTAAATGTTTAATGAATGAATGAACAACAAAACAATGAATGAAAGGATGAATATGCAAGATGCCTTCATGCCTTGGATAAAGATTTGATGACTCACAGACAGAACAAGGCATCCAGGCTATGTAAACTCTGATGTAGACATTTTCAGGTGGTGGTCAGCAAAGGCAGAGATAGTGCGATGGCCTTGTCCTATTTTTATCTGCCCAGAATGCAGCCTTCTCCTTGGGAACTGCCACTCCCCACCCAATCCCTAGCAGCTGGGGTGGCACCATCACAGTAACTAAACTGATCTCTCCAGGCACTGGTGGCACCTGGGTAAAGTATCCACTTCTATGATGGAAAACTACTCCCTAGCCACTGAGATGGCTTGGCCCTGCGTGGGTCTAATATATCAATAAGATTTGCTATGATGATGGAGAAGGTAGAAGCCCCACCCCACCCCACCCTCTCTCTGAAGGAGCAGATAAGCCTGAAGCTGCCAGTGATATCTATCACTCCACAGTAAGAACCAGTCAACAGAGAGCAAAGAGCCAGGATGTACTGTATTTTGCTGTGTATAATGCACACTCATTGCCCAAAGTTTTGAGGGAAAAATAGGGATGCACATTATACATGGGTATAATGACTCCACACTATGGGTATAATTATGAGTATAATAATCCCATGTATAATGAGCACAAATGTGGTGTGCATCGTACACGGCAAAATATGGGTATACGAGAAAGACGGTGCCCTACAATGCCTGAAGCTAAAACCCTCAGCCTTTTCCTTTATGGGACCCACCCACTTCTATATTGCATAGGGCAATTTCCATGTGAAGAAAATTCAACCGAAAGGAAGAAGTGTGACAAAGGTAATAATGAGAGCAGGCTGATAACACCCCTTCTATCTGCAGGGTCTGGGCACCAGCTCCCCTCCCCGCCCCCATCTCGGCCTCTAGAATGGTGTCAAGAAGTCAGGTAGCCCAGAGGAGGCCTAGCTATGAACAAGTCAGAGTGGTAAAAAACAAAGAATTAATTAAATTAAAAATAAAAAAATTTTAAAAATTAAAAAGACTCCCCCCTCCAAAAAAAAACAACACACCACCCCTAGGCTCCCTTCCAAAAGAGTCTCCTGGATCTCCCTTCTGTTTAGAAATGTGTGGAGACTTCTGGAAGGCATAACGTGTTACATTAACACCTAAAAAAAAAAATGGAGAGAACTTTTTACCAAGCACTGTGCTATGTACTTTATGAACATCCTATAACTTAAGGCTGTTCTAATGATGATAATATCCATTTTACCTTTGAGGAAACTGAGGATCAGCGAAGTTAAATACCTTGCTCAAGGTAACAGCTAGTAACTAGTTAAACGCCATTCTCCACTTCTTCCACTTGATCAGGCCCCGGGAGAGGGAGAGCGCCCCGCCACCTCCACCTCTCACAATGCCCCAGGGCACGGAGACCTGCAGTCTTACCACCTAAGGCCCAAGGAGTCAGAGTAGCTTCGCACAGTTAGCTTTTCGGAAGCCCCAAGTAACCCATGTGTAGGTCGGTTATTCAACACCAACACCAAAAGTAAAGAGCCTGGCAGAGGGAGCAGCAGCACCGACACGGGCCCCTGGCAAGCGCCGCAGACGGAGAGGCTGGAGCTCCCCTGGCTCCGAAGTCGGCCTGAAACCCCCGCACCAGCTCCGCGCTCGTCTCAGCAGTCCGGCCCCCTAGCCTCTTCTGTCCCCGCCAGCACCGCGGAAACAGTGCTTCCGCGGACCCCGGCCACTTCGAGACACGCAGACCCTGCCGTGCGCGCGGCCCCCGCTCCTGCCCGCTCCAGATGTATGCAGCTGTTCGCCCTAAGCCAGCAACCGGACCTCGACCTCTCTGCCGTCTTGCGGCCCCCGCGCGCCTCGTTCCCCTCCGCGCGCCGGACCAAGGTACCCCGGCAATGCCCGCTTCAGCTGTTCGGCCCCGCAGGGCCCCGGAGCGGGTTCCGCAGTGTCCCAGCTGACCACGGTGCCCGACCCGCTGCGCCTGCCCGGCTCACCTGCGCCTCCCGCGCCAGCCGGGCCCTCGGCGCACTCGCCCGGCTCCCGGCCTCGGCTCGGAGCGCGCCCGCAGGGGGCTGGCTTTGGCTGCGGCCGCGCTGGGCGGGGTGGGTGGGGCGGGGCGCGTCTCCTCCCCGCCCTTATCCACCTGGGGCACCCGGAGAGGGCCGAGGCCGGACAGGTGAACCCCTTCTGCCAGTGAGCAGCCCCGGGCTCCAGCTCCTCTGGGAAACCTCAAGGATCCTCCGCGGGGCGGAAGAGAGGCCCGGGCGACCTCGCTCTAAGTGACACCTGGTACCCTTAGAGCTTGGGAGATGGCGGGGAGTCAGGGCCCGGCCTGTTCTCACCCCGCCTAGCCCGCTTATGAAATGGAACGCAGAGAGAGTGAACTGGACCCAACTGGGCTCGAAGAGGGGAAGGCCAACCTCTTTCTATAGTAACCAAGACCCTCAGGGTGAAAATGATTGAGCCAAGGGCACAGGTAAGTTAGTTCAGAACTGGGAGAACTCAAAAGGCCTTTTCCAATCATTCCACCCTACCCCATTCCCATGTCACCCACCCCTGAAACGATCCCCCCTCTCTTTTTTTAGTAATGGCATTAGGCTATGTAAATATAAACGAACATTTCTGATCGTAATATCCTCCCCAACCCCAGACTGTAAGCCCCAGATGGGACAGGAACCTTACCTGTCCACTGCTGAATCACCAGAACCTTGAACAAACCCAGGACAGAGCAGGTGTTCATTTAATACCTAATAAACAAACAAGATGTGGCCCAGCCTTATTCTGGTCATTCACATCAAGCTGGAGTGACTCACTCCCACGTTAGCAACCATAGGGGGGCTTCTAGGCCACCTATCCTTCTTACTTCCCCGCCCACCACCAGCCAAGCAAGCTGGGGGAGGTCTACATTTCCAGGGTAACTTTGTATCCTGTCAAGCAAATCTTTAACTTCCAAAGATGTCACAGGGAAGGAAACTCTGAAATATAATGCAGTCTTGCTAGGCTTGCGCTGTGGAAACACTGTGGCAACTGACCCAGAACTGCCACAGCTGGTGGTCTGAAGTGCTGGTGGGACCTGTAGCTGGGAAATCTTGATGGGGACAGAACTTCCGCACAAATGGGGCTTGGGTTTGTTCCTCTGCTGTAATCTCTGACCTGTGGTCTTTGCAGTCCTCTCAGAGGTCAAATGTGACCCAAGACACTTGCATTTACTGAGTCCCTAACAGTGTCAAAAACAAAGACATGTAAAAATAAGATACAAAGAGTGTGGTATTTTGTGTGTGTGTTCCACTGAACAAGTGAAAGGGCTTCACACACATACACACACGAGGTGATGTGTGATGCGGCTACTGTCATGACTCACTAAAGAAATCCATTTCAAGAATAGTATGGGGAATGCTGTATAACTTTAAAGTTAAGATGGACAACATTCTCCTTGTAACTATTTCAGTACTCCTTTACGACTGCATGTATTATGGCCTCAAAGGCCCTAACTGGAGACTGCCAAGGTGAGGTCAGGGTCAAGGGGCCTGTTCCTTCCCTTCCCCCAACAATATGCTCAATGTCTCAGGCCCGGACCCCCTCATTCCCCTTCATCAGTGAGTCCTGCGTGCATGGGTGTTTAAGGTCTGGCGCTGCCAGGCTGGGCACATCACACTGGCCAAAGGCAACCTGGAAAAAAGTTGCAGTGGACGCCCCACCCAGGCGTGTCCTACTCCAGCTCTCCTCCATCTGCGGCAAGTGTGGAGGCCGGTGTCCAGGGTGGGGCTGTGGTAGGGCCTGCCCGTCAGAACTGCCACTTGCACCGGCAGGTGGGGCAGAGCACGGGAGCTCCTTTGGGTCTCAGCCACGTGAAAAGGGCCCAGCCCTGTTGGGCGTTGGTTTCAATCAGTGGAGCATGAGATCCCCCATGATTTAGGATCCTCCTGCTGAGTGTGATCTTGGCCGGGCCATCCTGGTAAGTGATGCTACCCAGACAGACTGGCCTGGGAATCATCAGGAAGGCACGAAGTTCTGCCCTGGCACCCACTAGGGCTCCTTCTCTCTCCCTCCCTCTCTCTAACTCCCCCCTTCCCCCACCTTCATCAGTACTTCCTGAATATCCTTGGGTGTGTTCTTCAGTTATGCATTTTCCACTTGGGAAATGTTCAGGCATAAAAACAGGCAAGATATCTGCTTGAAGGTCTTTACCAGAAAGGGGTATCAAATATGAAGGCCTGGTACCATTGTGAGCGTCAGTGAAACCATGCAGGTGAAGTGCTTGAACACAGCGCCAGCCCATAGCACCTGCTCGGTAAACAGTGCTCTTGCCGTCATTAACGTGGTTCTGACTGGAAGCGCCAAGAGAGTCAGCTGATGTCTGATAGACATTAAAGTGCTGAAAATAGGGACAAAATCATTGCTTGACTCTTAGGAATCTAGTATGAATTAAACCTTGCAAATAACTGTGTTACTGTTCTCTGCTGGTCCCTAAGAAAATATTTGAACTAGAAAATCTTCAGTTCCTTGTCTATCTCTAGTTCTCTGATAATATCAGGAAAAGAGAAGTTATCCAAAGACGAGATAATCCAAAACATTTCTAAGCCTCAGGAAATACTTCCCTTCCTAATTTTTTCTACATTCACTTAGATCTCAATGTGTACATTAATACAGTATTTCATTTTCTGAGCATACCTTTTAATGAAGCAACACATATAAAGTTCCTAGGGTTATTCCTGGCATATAATAACTATTCAACTAATTATAACTAATATGAGAGAGATGTAGGGAAATGGCCCTGAATATTAACGAGAGCCGTGACTTCAGGTAGGCAAATCTGATACTCGTGTGATTAGGTTACCCAAAACTTTGAGTTCACTGGCTATGGAATCAAACTATTTGGACTCAAATCCATCTACCACTTAAAAGGTATATTAATATCTCTATGCCCCACTATCCTCATCTATAAAACGAAAACAATACTAGTATGTTTGGAAAGCTGAGAGACACAAACAGAATAACCCTCAGTGAGCAGCTATTTTATGACAGTCATGATTCTAAATTCTTAGGTTCTCTTTTGAGGGCAGGAATTCTTCATCAAGGGCCAGAGGCCCTGAGACTGGATTCAGCATTCCATGTATGCATGTGTTTTTCCTAAAGAGAGCATCCACACCTGTCCTCAGGCTCACAAAGAGGCCTGGGTCTCAAACATAATTAAAACTCACTGCCTTCCAGACTCAGCCAAGGGTTTTCAGCTGGAAGACTTAGAAATCATGCAGACCACTGTTCCCAGACATCTCGGGGGAGGGGAGGAAGATCAGCTGGGAAGCTTGCGCCAGACACGTACCTCTGCTCCTGAGAATTCGGATTCAGGGAGCGGGAGGTTTTTGCAAAAGCACTCCAGATGCCACTTGCCTCCAGGCAGCCTAGAAACTGATCTCATCCAACCTTCTTATTTCTCAGGTGAAGAAACAGGCCCCAGGGACTGGCTCAGTCAGAAACAGCTTCCATCCCACACCTGCAAGGAGCCTCCCTCCCCTCTAAGTGAGGCCCTCATCCCACCCAAACAAAGGGAGATAAATGTTTTTCCCTCCACTGCCCAAGTTCACATGAGGAGCTCTCTAAAACTAAAACCAGGCTTTTTAAAAAGGAAAATAAAATGTGCAGGCATCTCCGTGTTAGCCCTTTAAATCTCAAAGAAGCCTAGGCTTTTCTTGCCAGGACTACTGATACCTCACTCCAGCGCCCACCTCCCCCCCAACCCCCGCTTTGCTATTTGAACAGCTGAGGCTATTCAGCTAACACTTTCAAGTGACATCGTTAAAAAAAAAAGGTAGAGGTTTTGTTCTACTTCCTAAAGCCACAGGCGAATGAGACACTGAACAGGGTACTTCATTCAGTCTGATGCCATTCAGTTGTGTGAGGCCCACGGTGGGAAACACCCCGTTCCTGGGAGATCTCAGCCAGAACTGAGTGTAGAGCAAGACCAGGGCAGGCAGCGGCTGCAGCGACGGTGGCTATCAAAGCTCTGTTTTCAGGGATGCCCAGAAGTGTCAGCGCAAGCATTCCCAGACAAAATCCAGAATCCTCCCTTTTTGACCGCTGAAATTCCCTCTATGCTGACCACCGGCAGCCAAGGAGTATGCGTTTTGGGATTTTGATGCTCACCAGTCACAGAGTCCTGATGTGACGAAAAGTTGAAATAACACAATATGTGTTGGGCATACTTCTCATATACCAGGCCAGCAAGCAAAGTGCTGCACTTTCATTGTCCTGAAAAGAGGAATATAAAAAGGTGCAGGCGGCTCCCTCAGGCTTGTGCTCAGCCCTGCAGTTGGGCAGCAAATCAGCTTTTCCAGATGTATCCGTCAGCAGCATCCTTCCCACTCTTGAGGACTGTGGATCAGTGTGAGTTGGCTCGCTGTCTAACACGCCTGCGGGGATGTGCTTGCCCCCATTCACTCGGTTTTCAGAGCAAGCACTGAAGCATGGGCCACATTTTGTGGGGCTGCTTACAAAATCACTGGCTACAAAAATGTCCAAATGGCTTTGTTGTTATATTTCTAACCCCAGGAAAGAAGTCCCTGATTCTTCCAAATTTACTTCTTACTTTTGAAAGCAACACAAACATACTTATCATCTTTTTAATTTGCTAGTTCATGGAGGAACTGAAATATGAGTGTGGAGAAAAAAAAAATTGTGTATAAAATCAGAGTTTAATTACCATCAACACACCAAGCAAAATTTGCCTCAGAACCTTTGCACTTGCTGTTTCCTTCTGCTTAGAACTGTCTCCAGATCTTTGCCTGGCTGGTTCCTTCTATCATTCAAAGAGGCCTTTCCCAACCACTAGGTTGAAAGTAGACCCAAGACTCTTGCTGTCTCAGCATCCAGTTTTGTCTTCATAGCATTTTAATGTACTGGGTCATTTTAGAAAGTGATGTTTACTGGCTTATAACTTGCCCGTAAGAAAATAAAGGCTTTTTGTCTTGTTTAC